GGCTAGTTCAAATATTGATTTTATCCGGTATGGATTAAATCGTTGCACAACCCTACCATAACTAAAAGTCACTAATGGTAAACTACATTTTCCCCAAAGTGGAATGGTAACATATGTTGATCAAGGTCAAATGGTAAATTCTCCGAATCTTGCTAGGAAAACTCTTTCTTTGGTATAAAACTTTCTGAATTGCAAATTTCTACCATTGTTTTCTTGTGGTAAAGAATATGGAAGGCTAGGTGTTGGGCTACTTAAGATGGTATTCAGTACATCCCACCTCATTAATTATATAGAGGTGTTGCAAATTCTCCGGAGTTTGGCCCTTGCGTAGCTTTTGCAGAAGCAACTTCTGGCTGGAGTTTTTAGATAAGTACTTTTAAAAAAAAAGCAGTTGAGTGTTTGGCTGTAAAACTATTAGAAGTGCTTTTTAATATGAGAGGTTGTGTAAAATGACTATAAAGGACTTATAATCTAAAATATGAATAAAAATTCTAAACAATAAAAAGAGTCAAAATGGTTCTTGTTAGATTTCTTTTATATTAAATAATATGATTTTTTTTAAATGATGTAAATGAAGGAAAATTATATTTTCTGAAATAAAATTAAAATATGATAAGGATAATATTGTATTTTCAAAACAGCTTTTCGCAGAAGCTCCAAATCGGAGCTTCTGCTTTTATGTTATACAAAAGCGCTTTTCGGCTTTTCAAAAGCCGAGGTTTTATAGGTGTTTGACCCTGCTTCAACTTTTGAAGCCGAAAAGCACTTCTAAAAGTCGGGCCAAACATAGGGATAGATCGAAATATGGTGAAACCAAATTTAAAGAGTCAATATATAACACTTTCAGACTTCAATAGATTTTTTTACTTTATTATTACGTTATTTGAACATTTTGAGTGATATGATTAATTTACTATTTTATTTAAGGGCTATCAAATATTTGTTCAAATATATTGACAATCATGAAAACAAAGCAATGGCGACTCTGACATCTTAATATGTGGTAATGGAAAACAACCCCAAAACCAAGAAAGTTCTTTCATAACTTTCATTTATATTGATGAGATTAAAGCATTTATAGACCGTCACTACGTAACCTCGGGTGAAGCATGCTAGAGAATTTTTAAGTTTGATATTAGATGTAGTTCACCTTAAGTGTTGTATATGTCATGTGCCTATGGAGAATAAAATAGTAACGAAGGAGAACAAAATAGTTGAAAACACTATTGAAAAAAAAGAATGCTATTGCCATGGATGAAAATCAATGCTCATTCTTCTGAGGCTCGCAAATATACTTTCTGGAGTTCCCTCAATGTTTCATTTGGACCAGTAATGGACAAGGTGACAAATGAGGAAGAACAAAGTGTGTATTGGAAGATTATATAATTGTCCTCCATCAGACAAAGAAAGAATTTATCTTCGCATGTCGCGACATTTAGTTACAAGTTGTCATTCTTATGAAGAAATTAGAATAGTTAATGGTGTAGTTTATGATTCCTTTCAATAACCATGAAATGTCCTTGGGTTATTGGCAGATGATGAGTGGAGTGACATCTTGGAAGAAGTTGCCTTTCGGGGTTCTGGATATAAAGTAAGGAATTTGTTTGTCACAATTCCTATCCACTATCAAGTGTCTAACGTGCAATCTTTTAGGGGAAAATTTAAGAATTACCGAGTGAATGAAATCATATTCAATTGAAGAAGGGAGTTTCATTTTTTCAATTTCCAACCTTTTATCATTGAGATAAAAGATATATACTTGATGCGGACGGATAAATTATTGCAGAAATTTTGGAACTCTATGGTTGATTTTCCAGGTTTGCCTATTCCAGATGAAGCTATGTGATTAAATTATCAAAATCAAATGATCTCTTATGAGTTAAATTACAATCCAAATATTTAATAAAAAATTAAATACATTGTATCAAAATTGAATTCATAGCAAATGAAAGCATTTATTGAAATTGTCCAGAGGAAGAAAATGGAAATTGCTTCTTTTGTTGATGGAATTGGAGATACATGAAAAACATTTATTTGGAAGGTTATTTGTTTTAACTACGAGAAAAAAAACTGTGTTGTGTATTGCTTCGTAAGGCATTGCAACTTTGCTAATAGTTGGAGGTAGAACTGTTCGTTTCTCGATTTCACATTCCAATTGATTGTGATTCAAAATCAAAATGTCATATTGATAAGGAAGCGAGTTAGTAGAGCTGATTTTGAATGATTCGCTTATTATTTAGGATGAAGCTCCTATGGTTCATAAGCATAATATTGAAGTAGTGGATATAACTCTCAGAAACTTTTGCACGTGAAACAACTAAATAGTAAGGACATGAACTTTGGAGAAATTTATATTGTGTTTGGTGGAGGTTTCAGCAAAGATTACTGGTAATTACTAGGAAAACTCGACCAGATATTGTAAATTCATTTATCAATAGTTCGTATTAATGACCTTTATTGAAAGTTTGAATCTTTCTCGTATGAGATTGTGCCCGAAAAATTGTGGGTTTGAATAAGCTATTCATATTGAAGAATTCAGCAAATGGATTTTGCATATAAGTGATGGATTGGGATCCAATGTTTTGGGGAGTTAATGATCTCAACTCCAGCTTCTTTGGGTATTCCACGTGAAGGAGATGACATTGTTGATATTGTGAATCATGTGTACGGTAATCTCCATTTGAATTATAGTGAAGGAACCTATTTGGTTCATCGTGTTTTATTAGCTCCACGTTATGAATTAGTATCGAAAATAAATAATTTCGTGATGGAAAGATTTCCAAGATATGAAGTTTGATCTATAGTTCAGATTCAATCGAGGTTGATCATGGTACCAACATCATATAGAGGTAGATTATTATGTGGAGTTTCCTAATACATTGAAGATTAGTAATTTTCAAGACCATTCTATTAGGCCGAAAGTTGGATGCCCTGAAATTTTATTGAGAAATATGGATCAAAGTACATTACTTTGCAATGACACAAGGATGATTATCAAGAGACTATATATACACATGGTTTATTAAAGTGGAGATTCTACTAGGTACTCATATTGATGAAAAAGGTCTTCCTACCTCAAATTAAATTATCTTCTCATTCGTTAGGGGGACAATTCCTATCGCATTTTGCTTTGCCATGATGTTCGTAATTCATTTTCTTTCCGAACAATTGAAATTTATTTATTTTTAACATAATTTGTAATTTGTTTTGATTGTGCTACTCGCTGTTGGATTTAGAGTATATTTGGAACATGCATCATCTTATTATTATATAATTAGCATTCATACCATGCCAAACTTCACATATATTGATTTTGTAATGCAATTAATTGCTTTTATTATCCACTAATTAAACAGCTTTCAAGGGTAAATTATAAGTAGTTGTATTTTCAAGTGTACTGTGTATATATCTTTAGTTTTCAAACCTATCAATTTTTAAACCATGCAATGATACTTAGTTATACTTTTTAATCTCTATAGACATGCATTTAATTATATAACTTAAAAATCAAGTGGAACTTTTTTGTATTTTTCACTAGCATTCATTCAATTGTATACTTGGCTGTATTATCAAGTGTATAAGCCTTCATTTTTTATACCATGCATAAATATATGTTTTCAATTTTTAATCCATGCATAAATTACACTTAGTCATATTCTTTAATCTATACACAAAAGCATGTCATTTATTTATATCTTAAAATTCCAGTGGAACTTTGTTTCCTAGCGCACTAACATGCAAGCAATTGTATTCGACTAAAACTTTTACTCCAGTATATATTAAAGACTTATGATTCGATAAAACCGCACCATATGTAGTGATTTAGAATGTCAATAATCAAAATTTATAATGCTAATGCAAGAGAACAATAATGAAAAAGATTATTTGTATTTATAAATAACTAAATATTTTACCAATATATTTGTGTGCTTAAAGAAATGCAGGGAAAAGGAAGAGATAATTGAAATGCAAGAGAAGAAGTAAGAGACAATTGATAATGGAGATCAATGTATCACTAACGGAGACGAAGATATTACTACTGGTGGAGATGATGATGTTGCTCATGAAGGAGGCAATGCGAACTAGTGAAAAAGAAAACATGTAGTACGTAATCTTTAACGGTGAGGAGTAGATAGAATGGTGCTTTGAAAACGTTTTTAGGAGTTGTTTCTCTTTCATGGTATTTGTCTTTCATTTTTCATAAAGCATTTTAGTCAATTAGTCAGTGACAGTTAGAGTGTCGAAAAACACTATTATGTTGCTCCTTTTGAATAGTTAAATTATTTTAATATTTTGGATTATCTTATACTACCAAACAATTTGTATATTTCAAGTATACGAATAAGTTATATTTTCTCATACTACCAAAAAAATGCATATCTCGCATACAAATTGTTACAATTGTTTATGCGATTGGCGAATAAATCCGGCCAACTAGCCGGGTCCGTGACTAGTTGACTATTGAGTCATGGATTATGATTCTCCACATCACAAAGTATGTTAATAGCCTACAATGATCAACTCCAGTAAATAGCGAATCATTCAATAATAATAAAAGATAAAGATAAATAGAGAATATTATACTCAATTCAAATACATTATCCTTAAACATAAAGAGTGAAAGCACAATTACTATGAGTATCAAAATCTTTGGATTATTTACAATTTAAAAATTTAGATTGATCTAAGATATATATTCTTGATCTGCGGATCCCGTTTGATATAGGTTTTTATTGCATTGCACAGTAGCCCGCTTGCCTAGTTTGAGCACAATTACAATGAGTACCGCCTAGATAACGAAATTTTTTGGATTATTTACAATTTAAAAATTTAGACTGATCTAAAATATTCTTGATCTGCGAATCCCGTTTGATATAGGTTTCTATTGCATTGCACAGTAGCTCGCTTGCCTAGTTTTTTCATTATTGTGTTGGTTTTGGCAAGGAATCAACTTAATGAAATTCACTAATTATAAAAAGGCTAATTAAGAATGAAAAAATACAAGTAATTAAAAGTACAAATGATTCATTTATTTTCTCTCCCTCCAATCGCCTCACTTCCAATTTTCTTCTTCTCCCCTCTCTCGACCTTTTTTCGTCTTTATATTTACAAAATTGTACGACGGCCCTCGATATCCCATCTCTCCTACAAACCTACACTCATCCAAAATCCGATGCGACTCTGCTTCCGTCCCGAGAAAGATGACCGATACGAGCGCAGGCGATGGTCCGGGAGAGATCATGCTGTACAGCGTCAGAGTGGTGCTTGATTCAATAAGTCTCAACAATCTCACTCAGTATGAGCAGCCTCCTGCTCTTGCTGGGGCCAATGACGACGACGACGGCGGCGTCGGGATGGACAACGGGGAAGGGGAGAAGGATACTCATGATATTAAGGAAGACGTTGTCGCCGCCGGTTACGGCTCTGCTGATGACGCGGTTCATCACTCCTCTGCTCCGAGCGCAAGCGAGGTATTATTGCTTGCCTTGTCTTTCTTCCTCCTCAAGTTTCTCTCTGTTCTGACTGGAATCGAGTGAGCTGATTGATTCGACGCTTTGAAGTTCGAATTTGAATTTATCTGTTTCTTTTTCTTAGCTTCTGGTTCGGAGTAGTGTTTGGCTGGAATTCGATTTTTCCAATAGGGGTGTCGTGTGTTAGTGTTGTGGTATATGATTCACGATTGAACCTCTCCCAACAACTCGAGTTATTGGGAGAAGGTTCTGCTGGATCTTATACCACATTCTAACACGCCCCCTCAAACGAAAGCCAACTCATGGGCTTGAAGTTTGCACATGCCCACCATACCATGTGCTTGAAAGACAACTGTTAATATTGGGGTCGTGGAGATTCGAACACATGACCTTTTGGGTCGAGGCTCTGAGGGGTTGGAAAAAATGACACTCCCTAGTATATTAAATACAACTATAGAATTTAATACACACATTAAATACACATTAGGAATTAAATGCATCATATAAATTATTTGTTTTTTTTTTCAAATTAAAACCTACACTAAATACATTTTCTCTCACTATATTTGATTTTTCCTTTTTCAGCAGTCTCCGACCACCAGACTTCCTCCGAACGCCACACTTCTCCGGTGAAAATCTCATCGGCAGACTCCCTCCGACCACCTCCAAACAATATACCACTGCACGGATACGTTGTACCACTGTACTGGTAGATATACCACTGCACTGGTACCAATGTCATATCTGAGTATCAGTGCAGTGGTACAAATACCAGTAAAGTGATACAACATATCAGTGCAGTGGTATATTTTTGCATGTGACCGGAGAGAGTTTGTCGGCGGATTTTACCGGCGAAGTGTGGTGGTCGGAGGAAACTTGGTGGTCGGAGGCTGCTCGGAAAGGAAGAATCAGAGATATGAGTGAGAAAGATCAAAGATAAGAGAGAGAATTGTATTTTGTATATGTTTAGATTTTTTTAAAAACAAGTAATTAATGTGGTGTATTTAATGCTTACTTTGTATTTAATAACAGAACATTTATTATGTTTACTTTCATTAATACTTGTCAATGATTAATGAAAAATTGACCAATTAAAAGGGGGTGTCAAAAAACCAACCCCTTAAGGGGTTAGCATACAATTTCTCCCAACGAAAAATCCTCTTCTATCTATCTATCTACAGCTGCCACATGCGGAGCCATCAATGATCCTCATCTGAGGTCTTTCTCAAACACAAACCCAGTAGCCATCAATGATCCTCACCTGAGGTATTACACATCTACAAACCCAGTAGCCATCAATCAATCCTCGCCATAGCACTGCAAGGAAAGTCAGAAGATCAAGAAAGATCTGCAGATAGTTAATGAGCAAATAGGCAGTTATGAAACACCAGTGCTCAACGTCGCTAATCTAATCTATGAGGAGAAGGTCAACCGACAGCAAGTTCTATACAAGGCCTCATCCCCGCCGCCCAAACCCCCAGAGAAACAACCAGTCGCTACTATGGGAGGAAGAACCCTAAATGCGATGACAGGTGATAGTAAAGAAGGGCAAGAAGATCAAAGGGCAGACATTCAAGACAGGCATCAGCAAAGCCAAGTTGCAAGAGATCCCCATAATAAAGGCTGGATGAAAGCACCTGAGATAGAGATCTGGAGAAACATCACACCAATCATTCACATTGACATCTATCCTAGCCCACCGATAGCTACTGGAGGCAGGAATAAATGTTTTGACAAGGTACACAAGGAACAATCTGCCTGGAAGCTATGCCTATTACACACGGAAAACAGGGGAGAAGTTAATGTGGAGGCAGACTTATACCACAAATGGCAATTAAGAGGTAGTTTGACATTAACAATAGAAGGAAGATACACCAGGCACAAAGATACAAGAAAGATAGCAATAAATGGCATGGGGAAGGAGTCTATGATCCTAAAGGAAGAAGAGTGGGGCTATTTAAGGACGAAGAGATCAGAAGCGCCTATCCATCCTCACTATCAGAATAGCAAGTCCAGCAAAAAAAGAAAATATCTACCAAAGATTTCAAGATCCTTATCGAAAAGCATTACCATGGAGCACACCGGGCAAACCGTGAGGGGAGTTAAAAGCCACCTGGTGCTGAATGTGAGACCGACAACTGTTGGAGCAAGAGGAAGCGGCATGTCCATGCTCCTAGGAAAATGGATTACAGATGCAAGTATCAATCTGAACAAATCGAAGAACGCAGCTATTAGCAAATGGCGAGCCTATGGGGACATACAAGCCACAAAGGAAGCAGAGAACCTATTCGTCTACACCTTCCAGTCACAACAACAAAGAGATGCAGTCTGGGAAGCTAGGCCGTGGAACCTCAGCAACACCCTCATAGCTCTGAAGAAATGGGACGGGGAACAGAAGGCGGAATCCTACGACATCCCCACATTCACATTGTGGGTCCAGATGCACGATCTCCCTCAATCTCTCAAGGACGAAGAAGCTGTTCAGGCGGTTGCAGAATACATCTTCCCCCATTTCCACTGCATTGACCGCTCAAACTTCGACTTCAGAGGTTGGCTGAAGTTCGTCAGAGCCAAAGTCGAGGTCCAGTTGGATCAACCTTTACCAATTGGCTTTGAGTACACTCTTGGGGCACGCTCCATCTGGGTTAGCTTCAAGTATGAAAGGATAATGGACCTTTGCTTCTTTTGTGGGAAGCTTGGACACCTGATTAACAACTTCCAGATAAGGGAGGACCACAGAAGGAGAGGCCTGAGCATCGAACCATCGGAGGTGTACAATGCGACTCTGAAAGCCAGACACGATTCTCCAGCAAACACACCGCCGGCGTCATTCCGAGAGAAGCAAGCAATAGCTCGCCGTCCGACCATCACTGGACATCCGACAAACCTGTTTCATGGATCTCGAGGCGAAACCTCTCTCCTGCAAATGATGGGACATACTGGCCAAAGCTCCTCCTCGAGCCCACCAGGATTCACTGCCATTACACTGCCACAGACAGGGGGAGGTACGGAATGGATTCAGAGAGGAGAAGTCAGAGCAGCTGCCACTAGCATCCAACCTGCCCTTTTGGAATTGGAAATGGAGGCGACGACTAGGGCATTACAGAGGAACCTCGGTCTCGGGGAAGAAAAGAGCTACAGGGAAAAGAATGCGGGCCTTTTCGAGATGGGCCAAACCCTGTCCCTGGCCAGCCCATTCTATATACAGACCGAACCCAATATCCCAACATGCAACACACAGCAAGCCCAGTTTCTGAATCCACAAGATCAGCAACCCAATCCGAACATTGAGATAGAAGCACTGGAGGGAGAGGAGATTACCAGGCCCAGGCCAGAAAAGAAGAGGAAACTAGAGACCATTAACAGCCCAACAGTTTCCCTCCCCCAAATGGAGGCCTCAACTAACATATCCTTTGATTCTCTGTCTTTTGCTCTAGGTGACAACCAAAAGACTTACCAGAGAAGGAGCATATTACCAGAAGGAGAAGCATTGCAGAAATAACGGCTGATGGGAATCAATCCGGGGAAGGGGAATCTTTCTCTCCGAGGGCGGGGGCGGCAAGCCTCAACCTGCCTGGCCAGAAATGAGAATCATCAGTTGGAATTGTAGGAGATTCGGCCAATCTCTTACAAGAAGCTACTGCGGCAGGCTTTGCCGACAGTTTGGCCCCTCATTACTCTTTCTCATGGAAACCAGAAAGGAAGACCCCTTCATGGAAGAAAAGAGAAGAGCGATGAAATTCGAGCACTCAGAGTACGTTAGTCCGGCAGTAGAAGGCAGTGGATTAGCTCTCTAGTGGAAGGACGATGTGGATGTCAATATTTTAGAGTCGTGTCGGTTTTTTATGGATGTCAGTATCAGTAGGGAAGGGGAAACCTTTTTTTGTACCTTTGTTCATGCTCCCACCACGGCGGTGGAGAGAAGAACCCTTTGGGAGCGCCTTACGGCGTTAAGGGACTCCAATGAGGAGAAATGGCTTATTGTAGGAGACCTCAACGTAGCCATCTCCCCTTTTGAAAAACAGGGGCGTTGCCCCTTGCGGAATGAAAATGTTGCTCCTTTCAAGTATTTCATCTTGCAAAATGCCCTACTGGATTTAGGTTTCTCTGGACAGGTCTTCACTTGGACTAACAACCAGCAGGGTCTCGAACTTATCCGGGAAAGAATGGACAGGGGGCTGTGCTCTACTGCGTGGAGGCTCAGCTTCAGTTCAGCTACATTTTTCCATGAAGATTTCATTGAATCGACCATTGCCCTATTAGAATTGACTTGCACCCCAAGAACCAAACCAGGGAAACCCCTTTTCGCTTTGATAAGAGATGGAGAGAAAATGGGGAGTGCAATCGCATTATTGAAGATATCTGGAGGAGAGGGGGCAGTGTTCATGAAATTCTAAAAAGCTGCCAAGAAGCAATCCAGAAATGGGCAAGGCTTGATAGAGCTAATACAATCAAGAGAGAAAAAGAAATCAGACTGAGGCTTCAAGATCTTCAAGGTCCAACCAAAAATCCTAATGACATTGGGGAAGAAAAAACTCTACTTCAGGAACTAAGCCTGATGTGGAAATCGGAAGAGGAATTCTGGGCACAGAGATCCAGAAACGAGGGGTTGCAAGAAGGGGACCAGAACACTAGTTTCTTTCACACCAGCACGATTAAAAGAAAAATCAGGAATCATATTCTCAAACTGAAGGATGAAACAGGAGGTTGGATTAGCAACGACAGATTACTTGAGGAGCAACGATTTTTACCAGAACCTCTTCACTTCCAAAGGGGGAACTTTCAACCACGATCTGTTAATTGGCTTCCCCTCAATGGTTTCACAGGATTTGAATTGCTCCCTTAGTGCCTCAATCAAGAAAGAGGAAGTGCGTAAAGCGGTTTTCCATCTAGGAGCAAATAAATCCCTTAGACCAGATAGCTTCCCGGGCCATTTTTTCAGAAAGCACTGGAACCTGACTGGGGACATTCTGTTTGAGGAAATAACCAACTTCTTCAGCAATAACATTATGCCTAGCAACTGGAATGATACTTTTATTACTCTTATACCCAAAGTTGAGGCCCCTAAAACCATTGGACAATTCAGGCCTATTAGCTGCTGCAACTTCAGATATAAGGTGATTACCAAGATCATGTCAAACAGACTTCAACGATGTCTCCTTGTTCTGGTCAGCGAACTCCAATCTGCCTTCACAGGAGGGCGACAAATTCAAGATAACATTGTTATTGTCCATGCGGTACTTAACCACTTCAAGAAAACTAACAGGGGACAGCAGAAAAGCTTATGATCTGGTTGAATGGGACTTCCTTATTCATCTATTGAAGGCTTATGGGTTTTGTGATAAGTGGTGTGGCTGGGTGCAATCTTGTATCTCTTCGGTTAAGTTCAAGCTCCTTTTCAACGGAAAACCATCTACAGATTTCACCCCTTCTAGGGGAATCCGGCAGGGAGACCCTTTATCACCACTCCTCTTTATCCTGATGTCCAACGCCCTCTCTTTACTTATTGAGAAGGCAGTCCAAAGAGGAGAGATTAAAGGACTGAAGATCAATAGTACATGTCCCATTCTCACTCACTGTTTGTTTGCAGATGACACTGTTATTTTCGGAAAAGCATCGACTGGGGAAGCAGGGAAAATTCTGAATATCCTCAATGATTACGGTTCATTAACAGGGCAAGAAGTGAATAGGGAAAAATCGTCCGTTTTCTTCAGCCACAATGTCACAGAGGAGGACCAGGGAGTGATTATCCAGACCAATGGCTTTGCAGCAATCAACGGTCACTCCAAATACCTGGGAGTTCCGACTGAATGGGGCAGATCCAAAAAAGAAACCTTTCAATTCCTCCTCCAAAGAATGGAAGCCAAAGGTGAGGCATGGAAAAGCCTCCTGTTATCTCTCGGAGGAAAGGAAACGTTACTTAAAGAGGTTTTCCAAGCCTTACTGTCTTTCATTATGTGTTTATTCCTTCTCCCCCGTGCCACCACAAACAGAATGGATGCCATGCTCAGAAATTTCTTTTGGGGAGGAAGCATGACTAAAAAACAATCCACTGGCGAGCATGACATGTTCTTTATGCCCCCAAAGAGGAAGGAGGTCTTGGGTTCAGACCCTTTCATACTTTCAACATGGCCCTCCTGGCCAAACAAGCTTGGAGGCTGCTCAAAAACCCCGAGGCACTTTGGGCCAGAGTTCTGAAGAGCATCTATTTCCCTCGTTCAGATTTCTTGTCAGCTAAAAAAGGATGTAAAGCATCTTGGATTTGGGCGAGCATTTGTGAAGCAAAGAATTGGATGAAACAGGGGGTGATCCGAGTCATCAGAAGAGGCAACTCTACAAAGATGTTCCAGGACCCCTGGTGGTTCGATCGTGCCGGAACAATCACCCCTGAAGTGAGTAACTTCCACGACAATGTCGATGCTTTCCTTGATGCCGTGTCCAGAGAGTGGAAGCTCGATATGCTAGAACAATTTCTGTATCCGGGCGAAATCCAACTACCGATTGCTACCCCGATTGGCCCACCAACGATGGAAGATTTCTGGGCATGGAGACTCTCGGACCAAGGCTTATTCTCTGTTAAGTCTGCCTTCCACCTTTTCCATAATCAAATTAGAGGAGCAGAGGGGAACGTGAACCCCTTCCCAGAAATTGCTAATGAAAGATGGAGATGGCTTTGGAGCCTTTCTCTCCCTCCGAAACTAAAATTTTTTATCTGGAGATGCTCGAAGAATGCCTTGGCATCCAAGGAGAACCTATTTAATAGGAGATGCTCACCCTCTAAGGTATGTCAATTGTGCAACTCTCCTTCTGAGTCCATCCACCACTGCCCTTTTCCTGTGCCCTCACGCAGCAGAAGGGTGGATTCGAGAATGGCCCAATCTGAACACCCCCCTCCACTCACCAACATTCTGGATTGGCTCAACTCTCTTCGAGCTGGATACTCCTTCACCACAATTCAAAGGATCATTTTCTTACTTTGGCAGACATGGAAGACCAGGAATGATCGCATCTTCTCTGGTATTTCACCGTGGACTCCAGTTACTATTTCCAGAGCACAAATTGCCCATCATCAATGGAGCACCTGCCCTAAGAAGAAAGTTGGATCTTCTCCCCTTCCTCAGCACACCACACCCCCAAATCTTACTACACCACCGCCGAGTACTCATGACTTTGAGATACACTGTGACGGATCGTTCTTTGGCGATTCCCAGGAGGCGGCGTATGGCGTCGTAGTGACGAATAGCCATGGTCAAGTTTGCAATGGGAGAGCTGAGCTTCCGCACTGTTTTTCCCCACTTGAAGTTGAAGCAAAGGCACTTTGGGAAGGATTTCGCCTTGCTGCGGAGCTCTCAGCTCCTTGCCTGGTCAGAACGGATTGCCTTTCACTGATCAAAGCTCTTCACTTTCCGACTGAAATTTGGCCATGGAGAGCAGCGGGTTGGATCGACCGCATCAAGAACCTCACCATGTCCCACCCCTGGGTCAAATGTGACTTCATCAATAGGAAACGCAACGCCAAAGCTAACTGGGTGGCTAGATCGTGTGCTAAAAAGACTCTTCCTGTTGAATGGATTCAAATTCTTGATGTAATCTCCCCACTTTTGTAACGTTTGGTTTTAGCCTCAAGTAATGGAATCTCATTGCCCTTTATCAAAAAAAAAAAAAAAAAGGGTTAGCATGCTAACCCGTCCCCTTTTGACTTAATTTATAGTTCCTTTTGTTTTGTGATGGTTTGACAGCAGATTCGATTCTTTTGGATTCGGTAACATGATCATTATGCTGGTTTGGTTTATAGGTTAGTCATCTTATTGTTTCAGCTTGGTTATTTGTGCAGACATAATCTGTCCTAGCCCGGGGAGGACTACGGAAAAGCAAAGCACGAGCAGCGCCGAATAGCTCAAGGAAACGGATTAAAGCATTTGGGCCGGATTTCCAAGACTCATTCATTCATATAAGAAAACATGGATTTCAGATCTCTCTTTCGCTCCATAACAATACCTAGCCTAGCTCGCCAACCGCCGAATTCTTTGTCCTCCGGCGCCGGGCTTACGTTCCTTGAATCCCATGCCGACCGAGAACTGCGCCTCGGATTGGGATCTGCCGTCTGGTGTACGCCGCCGCCGTCCCAGAAAACGACTAGGAATCAGTTTTGAAGCAAACCAGATGATGGGCAAACTCGGGGACGATCTTCTTGTAGAAATACTTATTCGCCTCCCCAACCCTAGATCCGCCTGTCGATGCAAATCTGTCTGCAGGCGCTGGAACTCACTGATTTCGAGTCTCTGCTTCAATCGACGTTTCGTTTCTCACCACCAGACCATGGAACTTCACATCCCACCGATGCCGGGCAACCCAAACGAGCTGCTAGGAACCATCCTCAGCTTCCTCCCTCCCATGCCTTACACTCTTAAGGTTTTGGATTGCGTCAAAGACATGGTTTTATGCGGGTTTTGGGATTTAGATTGCGACAATGGGGAACTTGGCAGATCCTACTTGGTGTGCAATCCGTTTACGAAGCAATGGGTAGCCCTTCCCTTGGCACCTGAAAAGTCAGATGGGTATAAAGCACCGGTTGCGAGGTTAGTTTGTGAACCCCGCATTGCTTATAATCTTGATCTAGGAGATGAACAAGCTTTTGTTTATTCCGAGTATCGCTTCCGGGTGGTGTGTCTGTATCAACATCAGCATCCGAATATGCAGGTTTCTCTAAAACTAGACTTGTTTTGTTTGGAGTCCAATGAATGGACCAAGGAGGCTCTTGTCCTGGATGGTCATTTTAGACGTGGAACCAAATCTGTAAGTTCATGCAATGGGGGGTTGTTTTGGACCTACTTTGAAACCTTTCCAGGCGGGGTTACTCACGCATTGGCTATGTTCAATCCTTTCTGCCTTGATATACCTCCCACTTGCATTGATACTTCTGCATTCCTTGCAGAATCATTGTGGATAATTTCGGTCTCACAAGGTGATTTGCACGTAATTACATTCGAAAAGAAAATTGCATCTGTTTGTCTAATTGTTTGGAAGATGGAAGAAGATCGTAAATCTTGGAGGAAACTATGTGAGGGTGTGGTGAAGAAGAAATCACGATGTTGTCGCTATGAAATTGAGGACTTATTTATACCCTTTTTGCATCCATATAATCCAGAGATTGTCTTCTTCCATTGCGAGGCTGGTCAGAGTGCTTTGTTATACTGTGATCTGAGAAGGGGAGAGTTAGAACTCTTCGCTGAAATAGAAGGGGGGAATGCTGACATTTGCTTCGTTAAGGTGTTCGAGCCTAGGGTCTCTTGCTGGCCGACTCCAATTCCAAGCTACGAGGAGTTGCAAGGCATGTACAATGGAAGCGTCCACTTTTGGGTTGACAAGCAACAACTCCCTCAATAATTGGTAACTACTTGTGCTTGTACTTCTTTTCCGCTTTTACATGTCGGTTAGGTTTAGGAATTGACCAAGGTTGTCAAACTAGTTCCAAGAATAGAGGACTGAACTTTGGAAGACGAAACAGTAGAGGAAAGACATGATTTTTTTGTAAAGATTTAGGTTAGCTGGGTTGCATGTTTTTGGATGGAAACAGAGGGCACTTTATGCTGATTTGAGGGCTTGGCCAACCCTTCAAATCTCAATTTTTAGAGGTTCTGTTTGCATTTTACCCAGCAAGATGGCTAGTTCTGGTGAAACCTAGCGAGCAGCTGGTTCAACCTATAGCTATCAACCATGGAATTTACTAATGAGAACACCAATCAATATCAGAAAGAAAGTTTTCTAACGGAAAAAGAACAGCTTGCAGGCTGCAGCCTATAATCCCAGTACAAGTTAAGGGTGCAGTTTTGTGGTAGTGACTATATACTTCCTCATCATGCAACACATATTAGCAGCATACATACATACATACATATCTTGACTTGTTTGTAGTTGCTTGAACATTTTGTTTTGGTTGCAAACTCTTTGCCTGCCTTTTGGAGCTAAACTTCAATAAAGTTGGTGATGATGAGATGGGCATGGACGTGTTTATGCTTTTTCTTGTATTTTAATTTCTGGTCTCTAATACTATATCTCGTTTCATTTCTGTTGTGGCTGGTCTTATTCTCCACCAACACATGAATTCCAAGCAGCTGATGAGCCATCCGATAATAGACAACATATCAACATCACACCTCCTGTCGTTGTGCTAAGAAGAATGCAGTGGAAGGCTTTTGTTATGATATTCAATATGACACCATTGGAAAAAATTTATCTATGAAGTAAAATAAACGGCTTCCATCAGTTGGTAGGTCATGATTCTGCGTTCCATGCTATAACCGACATTTATGCGGATTGTTCTTGGAATGCTTGTGATCTATATTAGTACTAGAAAAGCATCCGCGCTACGCTGCTGATCGTACTATGATTTAATTATTATTTAGTTGTTCAATTGTGCATTTACATTACATAGTTGTTCAATTCTTATTCATGATTGGGCCAGGGCCAGGGCCAAAAGAATGTGATACTTACAGATGGTAGGATGGGGCTTCTCACTCCCATCATTTACTGCTCTCCTCCCCACCTCCACCAATCCCGCCTTCTCTGATGGACAATAATCAGATCTACCGTACGTCGACCTCTCTATCTCTCACTCTCTGGACGATGGTGGCCAGAAGCTTCATAAATTATTTGGCGCCTTTGTTTTTTGTCTATTTCTTTTGAGTGGTTGCATGCAGGTATAGAATTTCCCGTCACAAAATCAGGGTACAAACTGATTGCTTTCTCGGTCATTTACTTGTGTTTAGATATTTTGATAGAGAATTAAACCAAGTAGAACCCACCATATTGTAGACAATAGGTTATCGTACAAAAGCAAGGGAATCAACAAAGAAGTAATTAATTATTGTAAATTTGCAACTTGTGATTCGATTCCAATGCTCTAATCTAGTATCAAACTGAGAAAATAAGAGGATGAATAAAAATGTATCTATGTATCAATATTGTGCCTGAAAATAAGAGATGGACTGAGTTCGGGAAGACAATGTTGCTTCCGCACTTGTCACGAGGGAGAACCGCCTATTTGCAAAAATTTGCAAATGTTTTGTGCAAAGAACGTTAAAGTTAAAAAAAGAGATCCAAAATGTTGACTCCTATTTGAAAGAAAGAATAAAGAGCATCTTCATATGTGTCCATTGTTTTTATCGTTTTTCAAAAGTTCCCGGTGCACACCTTGAATGTCCAAACCTATTTAGTCAATGTAGTCTCCCTCCGGGAGTTTGTGTTTTCACAGCAAGATATGAGTAACATTCATAAGTCTCCGAATACTCTAGTCCATGCAGTGAAGAACTATAGTGCATACCACGTTGATTTGTCTATCAAGTTATATTGGGTTGAGTAGGTTTGCTCGGGGACAAGCAAATGCCTAACTGTGGGGAAGTTGATTACACCAAAGTTAGTGTTCTTTATTCCTCATATCTAGGTTCCTTTTGAGTCATTTATGAGCATAATGATTAATACATTGTCTGCCCTATTTCGTCCCTCGAAGAATATATCTTTGTATTAGGGTGTATTAGGAGATATATGCGAATTAGGTAGCAAAAGGATACAAGTGTAGGAAGAAGAAGGCAAAAGCTAAAGATCACGGTCTGAATAAGGAAGATCACGATCTGAACAAGGATGATCACGATCGAGAAAAGAGGGCACAAAAAAGGAGTTGAGATCCCGACTCAAGTAGCAAAGATCATGCCCTCGAACTTTGACACTTCGGGCGGTGAACCTCAAAAGTGGCCAATAGGGGAGAAGTAGAGGGTCTCGTTTGTCTACTCGCGGCCCCCATCTTCTCAGCCCACGAGAAACATCGCGGAAAGATTGCGGTCGTGACTCACGTATTGCTACCGTGAAGTCAACCCGTGATCCTCCCCTTGGACGAAGAGCAAAACGGCAACAAATGAAGGTCGCGGCCTTCTCCACCAAGATCGCGACCGACAACTTTCCCAACATGGCCGCAAACTAGCCTGAATCTTGAAACTCTATAAATAGGAGTCACCTCTCTCATTGCAAAGGGAGCTAAATTGAGTGAAGAATTTCTGGTTTGTTAGATTGAAAAAAGAGAGAGAAGCTGAAGGAAGGAGAAGAAGAGAAGGAGGAGCTAGGAGGAAGAGTGTCATCTCCCCCTTAAGTTTTCTTCATTTTCTTTTATGTTTTTTCTTCCCTCCTTTATAGAGTAGTCCTCTAAGGTACTAGGGGTTAAAACCCCCAAATCCTAGATTATGTTTATAATTAGACGAATAATTTATGTTAGAGTTTATGAATCGATATGTTTGTTCTAGTGATTATATGCTTCATGTATGCTTAATTATGCTTGGGTATATTGTCGTACTCTTCCCCATTAGTCTGCAACTAAGCTGAATGCTAGGAAGGAATTTTAAAGTTAGGCTGGGTAGCGCCAAATGGCATATTAAGGGTAGATGAATAATTTTAGGATTCCTTAGTGGACGAGGCGACCGAACCCCTGCTATCTGAATGTCTTTCTAGAACGATCCTTTAGAGGCATGCAAGCGTATATGCGTTTCGTGTCTTCATCCAAGTTCTCATAGAAGACGTCGTCATATCTATAGTTATCGTTAAATAAATGTTGTTGTTTATTTACAGTGTATGATAGATTGCCAGATGTCGTGGTTAACAATAAAACGGTAAATGAATGTTGTAAGCTACTCTGTTTGTTTGAGATATAAATATCAGGGTTCCCAGTTGTTTGCTATTGAGGAAATCCTTTGCCATTTCTTCCCTCTCCATTTTTCTACATGGTATCAGAGCAAGAGTAGCAATGACTAACCTCCAAAAACCTCGCCGACTAATCCTCCCGACAGTGGACATGCAGCAGTGGTTTGCCATTTACACCTCCTCTAAACTTTGGAAGCTACAACAATGGCGCTCAACAAACTCAAGGCACTCGCCCAAGGAGTGGCCAAGGAACCAGATCTACAAATCTGGTTTTCGGTACTCCTATTGATAACACCTAAATTATACATATATTCGCCTACACTTTTACATCCTAAAATAACATAAATTGTACCAAGTTCATTCGATTTCCCGATTTTATGCTTGGTTTTGTGTTGGAGTCATGTTTCAGGGTATTCTATCCAATAAGAACGGAATAATGAGTCAATTCAACAAAAAGATGGTTAGGGTTCGAAATCTGGCGTCGGTGGAACTCGAGCCCGCGACGTCCCAGGCGAGGGCAAAGAGCCGTACCACTCCGGCCGCGTTCCCTTTTGTTATCAATATACGAAACCCATCGCGTATTATGGTGATGAATCAATGAAAGATAGCTGAAGTTAATAACTCATGTCAAATGGAAGAAGCAAGCTAGTCCAAATAAAGAACCAAGCAGCTGGAGGATGACCGACGTCAAATGAAGAAGCAAGCTGGTCCAAATAATAGAAGCAGGCTGGTCCATACGTAGGAGCAAGCAGGTCCATTATTCGGAAAGCAAGCAGCTGCATCGACGTCCTAAGCAAGCAGCTCCTCCTCCCTTGCCTTCGTCGCTGAAGCTAGTCACGTTAAGTGGGAGCAAGCTACCAGGTCAATTTAATGGACAAGCAAGCGGGAGAATTAAATGGACAAGCAAGCTCATCCAAATAATGAAGCAAGCACGTCCATTATAGCTCGTCCATTATTTGAAAGCAAGTTCGTCCATTATTTGAAAGCAAGTAGCTGCCTCGTCCATGAATGAAAGCAAGCAGCTGGCCATTATCAAAGCGGTCAAGAGACAAGCAAGCAGCTGGTCCATTTATTACAAGCAAGTAGCTGTCAAGCAAGTAACTCAAGCAAATAGCTCAATTTGTACTATAAATAGAGGGAGAGGACACTAGACAATAACACACACTACTGCTATATTTTGTTCTCCCTTTCTTGTATTTGAAGTTAGCCGAAACTCTGTCGATTTTCATTACAAACTCTTGTTACTTCTTTTCATTTCGTTAATCATATCTCGTATTTCATCCATCGTGGTTCTTATGTTTGTGTTCGTATTTGGGAATACCGTGGTATATTGCGTTATTGAGATTACCGAAGTGAGCTTCTATTCTGTGGGGTTATGATAATCATTTGTGGTGGTAGATTGGTCGGTTTCCACCGTCTTCGCCCAACGATTATTCCCCCGTCGGAAGTTTGCTAGGTGTAATCTATTAACTCAATATACATGTCGTATTCTCAACCCCTCCGTCTTCGTCGTCGTCATCATCATGGTAATGTTCTCAACCTTCATCTTTCTAAATCTCATCATGTCCCGCTAATCTTCTAGTTGTTCCGGATTTGATGAACCCTAATATGTTTTACATTGATTGAGTGGTATCTTTGATATAGACGTGTTGTTCTCGTTCTTACGATTTTTTTTCGACTTATCATGTGCAAGTATCAATAGTACGCGTCTATTGTATATTTTTTCTGATACATGTAAATGAGACTTCGAGGTAATTTTGCATGTTAGATCCCTCGTGAAAAGAAGGAATTGATCGGAGCCACCGGCGATGGGGTCACGTAGTTCCTCCGGATTAGGTTAAAAACCTTGTACGAAAATTCATAAATCTGGTTATTGCTTTGGTTTAAGATTTTTGTAAGCCACGGTTTCACTTGATTCTTAAGTCGAAAGGGTGTTAATACATGTGCGAACGGGTTAACACTAAATTGGAATTTTCATGGTCTAAGATATTAACACTCGTCTATGTTAAATTCAACTTGTCTGTAAAATGCATATTAGGGGGATTCACTTCCGGGACAACGCCTTCTCCACTTGATTTTACTTTGAAAACTACTTTATTGTATTTTTATTATTGCGTGTGTTTTTATTTCTAAACGAAAATCAACTAAAAACGATTGACTAGATAATAGGTAAAAGCTGAGTACTAGTACACGAAGTCTCTGTGGATACGACCTTGCTTCTTGCTATACTACCGTAGAACGATAGGTACCCTTGCCTATTTTTCCTGTGTTAGTTACGGGCGATCAAGTTTTTGGCGCCGTTGCCGGGGGACTAAGTTATTAGAAAAAGCTTTGAACTATTAATTTAGTCGCTTTATTTTTCTTGTTACTTGTTATATCACACTTGTTGCTTTCACGGGTTGTTCTTGTTTTTGTTCATGAAATAGTGCATGACCCGAAACCACCCACGTGGACTAGTCGACCTTGATCCCGAGATCGAGAGAACTCTTCATCAACGAAGGAGAGAGCAACAAGTGCAGCCACACACAATGGCGGAAGAACACGCCGAAGTGAACAATCGGACAATGTCTGATTATGCCCGTCCTACCTTGGACGGAACTCACTCTAGCATCCGAAGGCCCAATATCGAAGCCAACAACTTTGAAATCAAAACTGGGATGCTACAAATGATCCAAAATCGGGTGCAATTCAATGGGATGCCCGACGAAGATCCCAACACTCATATCAAGAAATTTCTGGAGCTCTGTGACACCATCAAAATCAATGGTGCATCCGTCGATGCTATTCGCCTTCGACTGTTCCCGTTCTCTCTCGACAATAGAGCACGGGAGTGGCTTGACGGTCAACCACAGAATTCCATCACAACGTGGGACGGGTTGGCTGAAAAATTCTTAGCCAAATATTTCCC